AAATCCAGGTAGACTTACAAAAAGGAACGTTGAGAGTGTGCGATGTTGTGCCATGCACAAGAAATGTGCGTCTGCGGTACGCTAAATTCGGTTTTAAGCGATCTTTTGGTCGTGCAACCTCCCATTTGGAGAGCCTCCGTACGCCCCTGTCTGTGCCTGCATGCTGAATGGCGTTTTCGTTTTGGACTTCCGCATGGCAACAGCTTGTGTTTTCTGCTCTCGTTTGGTGTTCACATCAATTGGGGACCTGTTCGTGGTAACCAACCCATTTGTAACCTGACGGTTACTAATAGCACTTCCTTGGACGCAAAATGACCACTGAAGTCGACGCGCTCGAAAACACCAACTAACCACAAATAATAATACTTCCTGACCTGACCGATGACCGATGGGCTCGCAAGACATAAGACAGTAAAACTAGCGCATGTCGTAAAGCATTCACTAGACTCGGAATAATTTTTCCATACCTCGCCAGTGGCCATACTCTATGAGATGTACAGATTGGCGCTCCTTGAAAATTTCCCATACGTTTGCATACTAGATGTAACATTTGTAACACGTAAGAAGAAGTGTTAGCGGAACCATTCTTCTATCAATACACTTTTTGTGTTCGGCCGGAACGGTATAAACTATCTTAACAGATAACCAACATAAAGCGCCCGCCCTCATCTATCAAATGCTTCAGTCAGAACTTTATGAGGCTGCTGCAGAGTAAATGTAAAACCTTTGGTAAAAAACATGTTCATTAGAAGAGCATACGAAAGCTTTTCGCGTATTTCACCAGCACACAATTTCTTTTCAGTAGCCCACTCTCTTGAAATGTGCCGTAAGGTACGTAAGACAACCTTGTTATTCGACTTTTGTGAACGTGGTTCTCGGCTAACAAATGGTTGTTACTACCACACTGATCGATTGCATGAAATACAACAGCGTTCTGAATCGTTTCTGCTTCGTTCAACCGTAAACCACTTCTTTATTTGCGGTGCCTAAAATCGTACGGCTTTTTAAACGACCCTCTCCGCGTCATAACCCGCTATCACTGACGGAGACAAGAGTTCTCTGCAGAGAGGTGTAGTCGCCGACCGCGTGTGCTGTGCGCGCTCCCTGCGCCGCCCCGTCCAGCCCGGGCGAGTCGGCTGGCGGCCGGCCTCGCTCCGGCGGCCGATCTCGTCTCGGCGGGAGCTGGTGCGCCTGACGGATGCCTGCGCCGGCTGGGCGTGCAGATAGGCGCCGTGCTAAATCCTGGTGGAAGGGAGGCGCTTCCAGTCGGGCAAACTATCTTACCGCCAGCCGGGCCAAATATCTTACCACCAGCCGGACCAGCTATCTCACTGCCAGCCGGACCAGATATCTCACCGCCAGCTGGGTCAGCTTTCTCACCGCCAGCCGGGCCAGCTATCTCATCGCCAGCCGGACCAGCTATCTTACAAGCGGCCGGGCCAGCTATCTCACAAGCGGCCGGGCCAGCTATTTCACCACCAGCCGGGCCAGCTATCTCACCACCAGCCGGGCCAGTTATCTCACCGTCAGCAGGGCCAGCTATCTCACCGCCAGCCAGGTCAGCTATCTCACCGCCAGCCGGGCCAGCTGTTTCACAGCCAGCCGGGCCAGCTATCTCACCGCCAGCCGGGCCAGCTGTTTCACAGCCAGCCGGGCCAGCTATCTCACCGCCAGCCGGGCTAGCTATCTCACCGCCAGCAGTGCCAGCTATCTAACCGCCAGCCGGGCCAGCTATGTCACCGCCAGCCAGGCCAGCTGTCTCACAGCCAGCCGGGCCAGCTATTTCACAGCCAGCCGGGTCAGCTATCTCACCGCCAGCCGGGCCAGCTATTTCACAGGCAGCCGGGCCAGCTATCTCACCGCCAGCCGGGCCAGCTATCTCACCACCAGCCAGGTCAGCTATCTCGCCGCCGGCCGGGCCAGCTATCTCACCGCCAGCCGGGCCAGCTGTTTCACAGTCAGCCGGGCCAGCTGTTTCACAGCCAGCCGAGCCACCGGACAGCTTATGCGCAGCATGAGCCCGATCAACGGCAGTCTGCTAGTGCCTGACGTGCGCGCAATGGGCAGGCACTGGTGTGTGACTAACTGCTAGTGCCTGACGTGCGCGCAATGGGCAGGCACTCGTGTGTGACTGACTGTTGCCCGCAACCTCCCAAAGTGCATGCATCCATGACACGGTGGTGTTCGTGTGAGCTACTGTATCCTGCTACTACCTGACGAGTACGCAGGCATTCGGCACTGTCGTAAATGACCGCAGGAGCTGCGTCTGCCCGTAGCAGACACTCAACGGCCGTGGAGTGTCGAGCTCCTCGACTTGCTGCAGCTTGCTTCTTCCTGATGCACGCGGGCACGCATTCCCCAGTCGCCGCTGTCGTCAACTGCATCTATTGTTGCTGGACGCCTACAGTTATCTCGTCACTGGCAGGAAGCTGAGATCATTTGGAGCTCGCCGTCGCTTGACAGATGCAGCGATGTAATCGGCACCTGGCAACTGGCACATCAAGTGGCGGTGCTGCACACTACAGCCGCAACAGGTGTTGACATTACCGGCTTTCCTGTGTTGAAACTCTCCACACACCGGCGGACGAAGAACGCTTGGCGAGAAAAGTCGGCATAGATCGAGAACGATTTCGTGCCCGCCGCCATAGCAAGTGGTCCACGTTGATATCGAGTCGATCACTACTCTTAGGGAAGCGGGGCTTAACGATGCGAGACTTAGTCGTGCACAATGTTCATTAATCTGGCAAGAGCAAACAGGAAACTGGATCTGTTGATTAGGACGTTGCAAACCGGTTGAAATATCATAGGCATAATCAGGTTGCAAATAGTAGGGTACACAGTATCAACTAGGTGCACTCATTGCAAGACATCGTTCGAACGCCCCATCATTACTAGAATGCTTGTGTAATTGCATGCAGCGTGGCATGGTCAGACCATACGTAGATCGCATTGAGCGTTTACAACGCATGTTTCTGATCCGGCTTTCAGCACACACTAACTGCGCCTCACGATCATTAACCGACATCAGCTTGCTTTTGACGCACTTCCTTTCTGGCTGCCAGACACATAAAGGACAGCTTCGTATTTTTAGCTTGTATCTTCCAGCACCAACCTGACTCATTACTCCCACAGTCATGCCATGGTCGGGCTGTCTCAGCCTGCCCATGCAGGTGCCGCGGTCTACTTGTATCACCACTGTGTCTCCATTGTGTCACCATTCACCTTTCTATGACACCTGGTGTTTATGAAAAAAGCAAGCGTGTCAGGACGCATGTCACGACCATGACTGTGGTGATGTACCCGAAGCGTTAGAGATGTCTCGGTACCCCAGCTGCTTGAATTGAATGCCCACTGCTTTTCTAGGTTTGTAATATCTTGGGGTGCTTTATTCACTGCATTCCACCCCATTTTATTGAGGACACATCTTGCCAGGAAGTGGGACTCCCACTTGGCAGTCAACCAAATTAATAAAGGGGAGTGCTCCATATTTCTGTGGGGGTTTTGGAATAGTCATCTGAAATATGAACGATAAATGAAATATAGCAAATATCCAAGTGAA